TACTATACCATATAAAAAAATTGTGCTTTAAAGTGGTTTATATTGTTACTTTACTGACATAGATTTTACTTAAGTAATCACTTAAAATGAAGGTTTTGAAATCTGTACTGTAGCAATAAAGATGTATTGTGTACCCCGCTCTTTTAAGATGTAGGTATACTTTAAACACAAAAAGAATTTATTTATTGGCCAAAATCAGCACAAAAAAAATTCTGCGTAAAATGCCAATCTATCAGAATTTTTAAGACCTCAAACATTTCTTCAGTTTTAAAACACTTTTTCAGAGAACATAGGAACGATCATAAAAATAATAACAAAGAAGTCCATAAAATATCTGATGTAGTTCCTTCGTGAAAATGAAGAAAAATAATAGTCTGAAAACATCAAATATGTGTGTGAGCAACATGCTATCCTCTGCCGTTGGGTGGATTTTCATGGACACTGAGATACATGCGCCACTACGCATTCCTCGCAGTATGATGAAGTATTTTGTGTGCCCCCAGAAAAGGACATGTTGACATTGTACGCGCATATAAGCCAATTTTGTGTTTTCACTTTGCTCACAGCTAAGCCATTTCGTCCTTGTTTTGTGTAAATATAAACTTTTTATTTTGTTTCTTACGTTTCTTACGTTTCGTGTTCTTCCTTATCTCCTGGTCGACTTTGATTCATGTCAACTGTATCCATTAAATCTGCTGTCCTTCCGTTCCACTCCTACGGTTAGTTACATTTCCGGTTTGCTGTTTGCGTTGGTGTCGTGAGCGTCGCCCTTCAGTCAGCCAAAGCAAGCTGCTGATTACTATATTTTATAGACAGCGCAGGATACTCCATATATCCATATATACTCTTTGACAAAGCGGCAACAAGTAGTAAATTTTTTAAATTATTCTGACAAATGGAATATTTTGTCAAGTAAATGTAGTGAAATAAATTCATAGAATAAAACAAGAAAACATACGAGTAAAGTCAAGTACGAGTGTACGTTCCAGAGTAGACAGGACGTTTCATAAGAAAAAAGCATAAAGGTGGGAAAAGTTTGTTTTATTTAAAACAGTCCCCTTTCAAATTAATACAGTGATTGTACGCTCTGAATACATATTCAATTCGTGTTTTAGATTGTCGGACGGGATATCCGTCACACAATCTATATATTCTTTACAAGCCTCTTAGTTAATTTCAACGTCCACAAAACGCTTTCTTTTCATTACGTTTTCCTGAAAACGAAAAAGTTGCGCGGTACCAATTAGAGTGAATATGCATAGTTCTTGGATTAACCAACACTTATAATTATCAATAGGTGACCACACTGCAAATACCCATTTCGGATAAATCATGCTTACTTTCGAAAGTACCTAATATTTATTAATGGTAAGTTCAAAGTGTTTTTAGATTGATTTCCTTCTTAAGAAAATATATTTTAGCAAATTATGACTAGTACTGGATTTTCATTTAGAATGTGTTTAATATATGAGGCTTGTACCGCTAAAATAAGATTGGGGTATTATATTTACTGAATATGCCTACGTTTAAATCGTGCTATTTTATATGATTTAACCTAAGTAATAGGGGTCTTTTGTTGAGCAAGAATTTTTTATATATATATATATGTCTCCCATAAGTCCCAACTCTAAGACTTAAGGATAATGAGAGTTGTCTTATTTCAAAAGTTGGATTTTAAATATCTGCTGACATTTTTTTTTTAATTTTTATTGATAATTAGTGATATTTTGACTGCTAGAGAATAAATTATATCATTTTATTTGATGTTTCTATTATTTCTGCAGAACCGCAGAAAATAATGGAAATTTCCGATTATGCATTACGCACATAATCAAAGTTTCACTGGTTTCCAAAGGTGAAAGCATGGGTGGAAAAGTTCAGAACAGGGCAGTTGGTTTTTGAGTAGTGAGTTGCGATGTGGTTGTTCTGAGAGTTGTTCTTGAGAAGTTTTGTTTGAGCGTTAAAGTATTCAAGTGGCAGTTGTTTTTTCGGGTTTTATTGCTAAAATCAAGTATTGCTAAAACCTATTATAAAATTAAAGATTAAACAAAAGAAAAAGAAATAAAACAACTTAAATCGATCATGTGAATAAAAAGGTGCAACAGAAGAAAACATTTAGTAAATTTAACACTTCTGCAACATAAGCCATCATATCCAGTCAGTAAGTTCAACAAAACAACAATTACAGCAATTTCAGTGCAACATCAACGACAGCAGCAGCTTCAGCAACAGCAGCAGTTGCAACATCAACACTAGCAACAACTTCAGCAACAACAGCGGTTGCAACATCAACATTAGAGTGAACACCTTGAATAATGACCGACCAATGTTGCTGACAGCTCGCTTCTTCATACAAATAGAACACAAGCGAATAAACTTTGTTTTTGTATAAGTTGTAAGGCCCAAATTTTATTCTAAAATTTAACCCCACATATTAAATGAATAGTTAAATATGAGTTTTAAATCCACTTAGTAAAAAAAACATATTTCTATATTCAATAAAATTTTTCTGCAGTAACACCTATTTTTGACCCTGTAAATTACATATCAAAGACAAACATTTTTTATAAACGAATGACCCTGTAAAGTAAAATATGTTTTGATTAATTTTTTGCCGCTAATAAAAGTTAGTTAAATTTGTTGTAACTATTTCACTTGTTTGTCTGCATAAACAAATTTAAGAAAATATCGTGCACGCATTTTTTATATGATGCAGTTATTTTTATCGAATTTGATGGCAATGCATACAACAATAAGAAATTTGTTTTGACAATTTTACGGGACTTTATTTATTTGAAAATAATTATTGTTTTTGTATGTAATGGAAGGAATTTCAAATAAAAGAGCAGCGAAATTGCGAAATCGTTCTATTTGGAATTTCTTTCACTACAGGTAAGAACTATTTTGCTAGGGACGATAGTGGGAGCTCGGACTAGTTGGTCCAGGCACATGTTGATTCGTTTGGCCATTGCTGACGATCACCGTGTGAATGGATGGACTGGTTTGGGCGAAGTGATGGTGGTTGAATTACCTTCTGCTTGGCTTATGCTGGCGTAGGGTAGTTTAACCAGTTGAGTTACCTGCTGCTTGGCTTATGCTGGCGTTGGGTAGTTTAACTAGTCATCCAGTTTTCCATTTGGCCATAGCTGATGGAGGAATGGACGACGAGTCACAAACACTGTCAAAAGGCGTGTGGGACAACGAGCGTTTGGCAATTGCTGACGGACGTGGCCAGGCGTAATAGCAGGAAGGGACCCTTGTCTGGTTTTTACTGACAAAGGTATTGATTTATATTTTATTAGAGTTTCTTTAGGTTTAGCCTATTTGGAATTTCTTTCACTACAGATTTCACGATTCTAATGACACCAACTTGCGCACCACTGACATCAACAGCATACAACATTCTACACCGTTTACAACATCGCTACAACAGTGTTACAACAGTGTTACAACAGTGTTACAAAATTAACAACATTCCACATCATTGACAACATTTTCAACATCGCTGTCTATTACTTTCCACAACTTAATTTATATTTTTTTTGGTTAAATAATAAACGCTACTTTAAACAAAAGTGTCTCTATTATTTCACATTTATAAATTTTCTTATAACGAACCCTGGTATACTCGCTGAGTATACCCCAGCTATAGATAGGGCCGGAAAAAGGTCGTTATAAAGTTGAGCAAAACAAAGACCTCTCACAATATCAGACCTACCTTTGTCAATTCGGCGGCTTTCCTAAAGATTTGGCAATTTCGAAGCAAAGTTTTCACCAAAGCAAAACAACAGTAACGTACTTATGAAAAATAACTCATGCCTATACACTCCTTGAAAAATAAAATCCTCTCTCGATGAACCAGTATGAACTATTAACAACAAGATATTGAAATTCGCATATACTTCTATGCGAGCAAAATGAAGAATCCTTTTTATTTGAAAATTAAAGA